AAATATAAATTGATTTCAGAAACACGTTGGACCCGGTGGGAATCGATTCGTTGATGATTAGTCTTTCAAATTTATACTTTTTTATTTAACATCTATTGCCTTTTCTATTTGACAGTATTTAGTAGAATGCCAAATACTACTACTAAAAACCAACGACAACGGGGCTAGCGAGTCAGACAAGCCAGATAATCAAGTAGCAAATGTAAATAGTAAAATCAGGTAAGACGTAAAAACCGTACTCGAATTTCATTTCAATGTGCCTCACCCTACCTTGATACAATTTTTCTTAAGCAAACACGATGATTTAAGTAAAATTTTGGTCCTGTAACTGATGGACAGGAAAAAAGCTTACGTATTTTATACCTCACATGTAGTTTTGCGTTAGTTTTGCGCTGAAAACCGTAATATTTTACGGACCTATGTAGCCATTATCTAAGCAAAATCATGATTTACTGAATATCCCGGGCCGCCAAAGTATTTTTTATCGCAATATTTTTCAGTACTTTAACGCCTATTTGTAAATAGTTATTTACACAACTTCAATAAAATCAATAACCATACAACCGGAGACAAGTATCTTGTATTCTTGTATATCACATCAATAAAGAGTACAAACTCGATTATCCGGTCCTCATTTCATTTATTATTGTACAACACATATATACACACGCTATTTTTCCTACATTCGATAATCCGGATTTTCGATTATCCGAATAATAACAATGAGTACGGTTAATCGAGTTTCTACTGTAATAATAAATAACTGTTCACTGTAGTATACTGTATGTGTAATTAAATGTGGTCGAGCGAACATGAGAGATCCCATCTTAAGTTGTTTTCCATTAACGCTCTGACATTATAATTGATTTTATCGGAAACTTTGTTGGACGCTACGTACTCTGTTGGTAAACGTGTGCTCGCCACAACAACGCTTCATGAATAGCATTACTGATCTAATCTAGTCTTCTACTAGTATCAACGTAAACGAATTCAAAATTTTCTTGAAACTCTAACAAAGACAGCCTTAGCTGAATTATTAAATGCGAGAGTTTCTGAAGTCTGATCAATTACTTGCCTTTAAAAATGTGTTCAACTGTGTGTAATATTTATAATATAAAATCACTTGATATTGTCTATGATAAGCTGTCCGAATGTATGTGTCACATCGTAAAAATGTCGTAAAAAACATACATATACATCATACTATTTTACAATTAAGCATAAAAAAATTTTGACACGCTTAGGACAGAGTTGACGTAAATATTTTTTTAAAATAGAATTTTAATTTGATAGTTAATTCGATAAAACGCTGGTTGAGGACTGTTATTAAATTTAGTAATTAATAATAGACTTCACAATTTAGCGAACATCCTGAAAATTAATATCTTCAAAATTACTATTTCGCATGAGATGATCTGAAAGCAAGCTAATAATAATCTGCCGTAGATATTAACTTTCTCAAGAGCGTAACAGCCTGTACACAAATATACGAAAACTCTATCTCATCATATAAATTACTCACATGCAGATGCTACTCAAATCAAAGATAAAGTAAATTGTATCTCCTTGTTAATATATGTTATAGTTATGAGACAAGAATAGATGTAAGTGTAAGAAAATAAAGAGTATTTCCTTCACCAGTCCCGGGGCGCGACATTTTAGTTCGTTAGTTAATTATAGTATAGCTATATATTGTGAGAGTAAACTTTTGGTGAAAATTTGTACAAACATAATATAAAGAAAAAAAGTAAAGGAATAAATGAATATATAAAAAAAAGCACTTTAAATATATTTCAAAATTGTATATTGGTGTTAATTGTACTAAAGTACTTGGTAAAGTGTAATGGTGTGTACCAAATTAAAAAAAAATAGAAAACATTTATGTAAGTATTGTCTGTACACAAGTAGTACAGGTTTATATAAAAGCCATTTTTCATGGTAGAGGTGGTCGGAATTAATATATAACATCTAGGAAAAATGCGCTGTTGGCCTATTTTGGCTTTGGGAATTTAAAAGACACTTAATTTGGATTTCTTTTGTACATTTAACGATAGATATGGCGAGACAAATATGAGGTTGGAGGTTCATTAGATTCAAGCAATTTTGGCTTTGGATATTCAAGACATATGATGAAAATGTAGGTTTCTTTTCGTACACGAAAAACTACATAGAATTTTCCGAAACATTTTCTAATAAAGAGCTCTGGTGTTTTCGAAGGCTGACCTAGTGCCGGGACGTGGCTCGATTTACTTTAATTCAGGAAATTGGAAGTTTACCTAGCTCTGAAAAAGTTATTCACTCGGACTGTCTAAACTTTGTTACCCGGTGTTGACGAGTCCTGCATATAAACTAGAATTTTAACATAAACTCGATTTAGCTGTTCGTTAAGCGCTCGAGAGGATTTCTGTTGTATTTTGCTCCAATGTAAGCTTGTATGTAATAAATATGACATAGTTATACTACTATTCACTAGATATAAGTTAGGATCTTCTCTTCCCAGATATCGAATCCAAAACCTATAAAATAAGATGAATTAAGTACTTACTACTAATAACTAATACTAGTCCTAAATAATAATATTCTGTAAGGACCCGGCCAGTTTCGCCAAACACCAACGTCGACGGACGGATGGCGCTAGCGTAGCAATTTTTTACTTTGACGTCAGAGACATCCTCAATCTTTAGTCTCCCCGTGACCACGGGTGCTGCAAAAGCATCCGAAACGTCGGGCCGAAATTAAAAAAAATCATTCAAATAAGTTTAACTATTCGCGTAAACTATAGACAGTATTTAATAATATTTTGCAAAACTTTAAAGATTTTATGAAAACAATAATATTCTTCACATGTTATTGCACATGATGGCATTATGTAAATTAAAAAATCCATTGTAAATTGAAAAAATTCGACGATGATGTGTAGGACACGGTAGCTCAATTGGTTAAAGCATTTCGTGCTTTGCTGTGGACGCCGGTTCAAATCCTACCCGCGTCTTGATTGTACTAGAAGTATTTGGTTAACTGTTCGTTACTTAAAAAAGAAAAAGAATTACCTGATGTACTTCTCGATACGGAACCGTCACTTTTTACGCGAGTAATACAGCAAAACATTTTATGTGCACAATAAAAACGCGTCCGTTTGCCTAGAGGTCTAGAAACAATTCAATGCGTCAAAAGGGAACGAATGAATAAATATGAGTTAGGAATAACCAATATTATAATCTTGAGTACAATGCTATCCTTATAGGTATCGGTGACGCTGACGTCTTATGACGTCACGACCAGGTAGAGAATTCGATAAGTAGCTTTGGTAAAAGTACTTTACATCGATTTGATACCTATAATTTAAAAAAAAGCATTTTAAATAGTAGTTACAAATTAAGCACTGTCTATAGTTTACGCGTTAGTTTCTAATAAAACACTGTAAACGGTTTAAAACGCGAAGTGTATTATTTAAACTTATTCACAATTTATTTTAATTACCGACGTTTCGAATTCTTTGTAGCAGCCATGTTCCAGTTCACGGATGGTTTTTAAATACTTTTTTTAATGTTATAATAGATCGTCAGCGCAATTAGAGATATAATTCTGTTCTCTTGTCACACAATAATATTAGAATTAAAATAACACTAATATTAAACTAAAGCGTGTCTCATTGAGTAATGGATTCACCACAGCTGCATTTCCTCTGTTAAATCGGCACGTACGGAAAGTTTGCTTGGATAGTTGATGTCCCGGAATTGTGCTAGAATATATTAATATTGTCGGATCTCAAGGAAGAGATCCTCATCCATCATTACGTTGCAGCAAATAATACGGCATACCATTTTAAAAGTGATTTAACAAGCTTTATAGTTAAAATTGAGAATATTTGGACAAAGTTGTGATTTATTAATTTATTTTTAAATAACATTTTAAGTTTCTCCGGCACACAACAGCAATATTTAATCGTTGTTTAAAATTAAGAATGAAATTTACTTTAATAATTGACAATGCGAATATTTCAAACTACGAAAACAAATAAATGGTCATAACTTAATAAATCTTAAGCGAGTTAAGTCAACGCAACGAAGGTTGTAACAAAGTTATTAGCAAATATCTTCAAAATTAATTGAACCTGCAGCTGGGTCGGGAGGTCGATGCCTCTGTCTGCCATTCCACCAGCAACCACAACACGGCATCGTTATAATCCATCACTTCACAGCCGACATTCGTGTTACGAAACAATGTAATCCGGTAATCGACTAAAGGCTTTCCATTGTCCCATCACAAAGTCCTGACAGTTTGGTTCTAGCGCTTTCAAATATGACTTTTAGGTTTTACAACGAAACATACTAGATTTTAGATGTAAGAGTGTATAGCGAATGTCAGTTTTAAAATTACGAAGCTCAAGTATTTTAATAAGTTAGCGATATAATCGTGGACATAAAACGTCTGCCACCGATCGCTGTCTGCGCTCGACTGCGGGATAATTCGCATTTCTATAGACACTACAAGTGCTACGATGTAGCATTTTCCATTTCCAGCCACTTCTTTATTTATGAGGAAAACTGAACTTACGGTTCGTAATCGTATTTAAAACTTTTTATTTTTGAAGTTGATTCACAATATTTTTATTCATTTCATTCACTGTATCTGTGCAGGTATTTTAAATTTAAGTCGAGTTGATTAAATGAATTTCAGTAATAAACTCTATATAATATAAGACCAAAATATATTCGTTCAATTGAGCGGGTAAGTGCAAACACCTTGCTGCTTACGTTGCACTGATTAATTTTAGTCATATGTATCCGATATACAATACCTACTCGAATTAACATTTTATCATGTTTTCCATCTCGAATGGTTCTCGAATCCAGGACTTTTCAAGCTTAATCAGATGCTTAGCAATGCGATTTATTTCTTAGGCATATAGGCGTCCAACATCTTGCTTTTTCTTAGTTATTTTGTAATTAGTACAATAACGGAGTCATAGGAAAGTATTACAGTAAAAAATAAATAAATTACCAACCTGTAGCTGATCCCGAATCTGCCGGCTTCATCGTGTTTTGTTTAGTTGGTGATTTGTGAAGAGACTGCTCAAAGGATTTATTGGGTATTGTTTGAAGGGTTTTGACGAAGGGAGTGGGTGAATTCGGCAAAGACAATGGACTGTTCACCAATAAAGGCGAAGTAGGGGTACCTACAGCCGAAGGTAAGGACAGCTTTGACTCTGAAGTGGATAAATTTGGTTGAGAATTTTCAGGTTCTGTAGAATCGGTGTAAATAACGGTAGGAAGCGAATTATTGTTATTCGAACTGCTGTCTTCGTCATCTTTGGATGTGTCCGACATGTTTACCTGGAAATAAAGAATGCTCATATAATCTCATATCTTGAAACTGGTTCGTTGGGTAAAAAGTATATGCTAATACAAATAGCCAAACTTTTCCGAAGCGAGTCCTACATATGTCTACGAAATAGACTTACTCTAGAGTAACCAAAATACAAGAAATATTTTCGTATCAATCTATATCTATATTAATATATAAAGCCGAAAAGTTTGTTTGAACGCACTAATCTCAGGAAGTACGGGTTCGAATTAAAAAAATATATTTTGTTGGATAGACTGTTTATCGAGGAAGGCTTGAGGTTACAAAACAAAATGCTGCGACCGGTTTAAGCCTAGAAATAGAGGGAAATGTGTAAGAAACGGTGAAAACGGGTTACAATAAAAATGTGTTATAAACGAGAAAATACATATATTCGATAACTCATTAAATATTTTATAAGTTAGGTTAAGTCATAAACATACAGGAGCGCAAAAGTTTAGCCATTATATTTAAACAAGCCAATGCGTTCGCAAATACCAAAGCTTCCAGCTATTTTCCCTCACTTCACATATAAGGTATTTCAATTTTCCACGACAGGAAAGTTGAAGATGTTCATTTCTAACAATATAAATCACATACACGAAAGGTTAAATACAATACGATTTTATACGATGATGTATATTAAATTCGTTTGTTAGCTTTTAAAACAATCGTTTTTTTTATAAGAATGTCAGTGAAAGAATATGAAGCAGGTTATGTAAAAACAAGAGAACGCAATAATTAATACTTTTTGTATTTTTCCTTATTGGTCGTAAGTAAAGGCTCTTTATGTATCATTAAATATGGTTTAAAGAAGAAAATTAAGTCATACCCCTACGATGTAATTGAAACAGTGTAAAATCATGTACAAGTTTTTCAAACACGTAGTAACTTACTCGTATATATAAATAAATACATAAAAATGATTTGCTTATCTACAACCGATCGAACATCTCCATGAAGAATTAGTTGCAATGTTTCTCAACATTTTTTCGAGTCAAGTTAAATAAATCTAATAAATAAAATACAATATTCAATCAAATCAATCTTTATTTAATGACGTCAGCTTAGATAAGCATAGGCTATATCAAAGTTATTTCTATTGTTTTCAGTATAATAGTAGCGTTGAAGACATTAGACCGGTCACTTCGCATTCCTTACAGCGAATTTACACCGACGATACTATTATCTTAATGATATCGTGTATCAGATAAAACATTGTTAAACGTAGGCTGAAGCCTGTAGTGGTGTATCGTTTAGTTTTATAATTCGGGAACAAAAATGATGGACTGCAATATGGATGTTGATATATCGACGCCGGTTTCGGCCAAAATCGCCAATGGACTAAGAATATTTTTGGCAGCGACTTTTTGGTGTTTCGCTAGGTTACTATCGTTTTGTAGACGGAAAAGAATTCCCGCCATAAGTGATACTATTTTAAAGTTGCCAGCCATCGAAGTGGCAAGGAGGATACGGCATCAGGAGGTTTGTAATTTAATTTCTAATTTGGTAAGTTTAAATTAAATTTTAAATTAAAAAGCAAGAGAATACATCCCAGCAAATTCCATTTATTAGCTCGAATTACTTAAAGATGGTGTGTTATAGTAATTAAAAATACATTCGTTACATAAGAGAAACGCGTGATCAGTTTATTTCACTAATAGAGATTACTAACAGTTAACAGGAAAATCAATAAAATTACAATGGTATATAATTGGGCACTCCACTTATTGCTAAAATTGTGTTCTATGTCATTATATGAATCTTTAAACGCCTATATATGCCATATACATACATTTTATAGTTGATAGAACTGCGTCGGATTAGATTCAAAATTTAAGAATTTGTCATTATTGTTGTATGAAAAACATCACGGATCACCTTCGGACCCCGTCAAGCTCATTGTAACATAAACGAAATAGCAATTCCTTATTTATTAACGAATGTTAATGTTATAAAAAACACTTTTAACGGTTTAAAACACGATATGCATTAGCTTAACTTATTTAATATTTAACACGTCTCGCCATGGCCATGGCTGCAGGAAATCAGCTGAAAAGTTCAGCCGTAGTTAAAACAATTTGTAAACAAGTTAAACTACATTTCGCGTTTTAAACCGTTAAAAGTGTTTTTTTTATTAATTGTTAAGTCTAAATCATATCAGTGTTATATTATGAATGAGCAGAGAACATCAGATTCAAAATTTAAGTTAAATTTCAAGATCACAAGCGTGGCCGTGTTGAGGGCGTGCATGAAGAGAATAAGCGAAGTGAACTCCACATTAAACTGTTTCATCGCAGACCGCTTTGAGGCGGCCTTGGCAGAAGCTAAAGAGGCTGATGCCCTCATACAAAGTGGGACTAAGACCTCAGAGCAGTTGCAACTGGAGAAACCGTTCTTAGGCGTCCCGTTTACAACAAAAGACAGTATTTGCGTCAAAGGTACTGTGAAATTCTTGTGCAAATGTTGATAACGTTTTCGACAACTAGATTTTAAGATTGCAAAACTTGAGCAATAAATAGTAAATAACTAAATGTTGCCTAAAGCAGAAGTCAGATTTTATCTTAATTCTTATACCGGGAATTATTATAGCTGTAATGTTGTGAATTTTTTGCAATAACTACATTTGTTTTCATATGAAACTGTTTTATATATTAGTGTTAAACGGGCTCGTGAGTGGAATGGTAGCAATGTATCAACGTTTCGATTCGTACCAGTACAACATTTTTCTACTGTCTATAGTTTACGCGAGTAGTACACATTTAAATAAAACACTCTAACGGTTTAATACGCGATATATTAGTTAAACTTATTTGAAAATGATTTAACATCAAATCAAACCATTTTCAATTACGATTACATACATTCACAAATATTAATCGAATATATCGCGTTTTAAACCGTTAAAGTGTTTTATTTAAACATTTTTATAATTTTTCTAAAACATGTTGGACTTCCTCTGTAAATCTGGATATTAAATGTGTGGTTGGCATATCGAAGTTCCGTGCGGGTCATGAACCACCGTCCACAGACTGTTCATCTGTCAATGCCGTCGAATTTAATCGTGTTTCATCAGTATGTGTATTTCCTAAATACGACGACATCGGATATTGTTTAGATGTTATACGGTTAGGGTAATTCAGCTACGATAATGTGAGCCCGTGACCTTGTCTGTCCTCCTTTATCCATAAGTAACGAAAAGAGTAATACTAACATAGATAGCAATTTGGTATTACATTTGAAGTTTCAAAAACTCTTAGGCGCGGCAATGATGTCATAATAGTCTATTCTAATAACAATATTGTTTCAAACTATACTATAGCAGTTAGAAATATGTTTGATAAAATATCGTGCAATCTGCAATTTTCACCTGAGCACTTCAATGAGCCTTTAAGGCCGAATCCATTATTTTTACGAGTTTAGTCACGAAAGCTTCTCTCTTTTCCCTATCTGTGTAATGCTTATCATATATCGTGGAACCCTCTTTCCACGGATACGGAGTGGCAAGGTAAAAGTTTTGACTAAGACGGGATATGTAACATTTTTCCGCGAGAAATTGCAACGCGCGCGTGTTTATTTAAATAAGTACAGTGGCAGTATTTATCGTGACACGAACACTATAAAAATATATCTATACTAATATTATAAAGCAGAAGAGTTTGTTTATTTGAACGCGCTAATCTCAGGAACTGCTGGTTGGCATTGAAAAAAATCTTGTTGGTTAAAGCATTGATCGAAGAAGGCTTTGATTTATAAAACATTATGCTGCGATAAATAGGATCGAAGAAACAGCTTGAAATGTGAAACAAACAGGAAAAATTATTACATAATATTTAATAAAATGTTTGTTGCGTGCACTACGAAAACTGTTCAAGATAGCCAAAAATATGTATGAAAGAATTATTTCTTTAAAAATCGAAAATCAATTAAAACAATTTTCGACTCGGAAGCGTTCCGTGCTGTTGCTCTAGCTCAGAGCGACGATGCCGGTTTAATCCTGCCCGAGTCGAATTTTTTTTCAATTTATTTCCGATTTTTAAATTATATAGTGCCTTCATGTGCATGTAAAAATAATATAGTTTTCAAAGAATTATTTCTCTCTAAATGATCTAAAGAAATGTCCGCGACATTATACGTCTATCTTTAAAGATTAACTTACAAGAACGACGGGATGCGAACGAAGTCGTGGGTAAAAGCTATATATAATAAAATGAACAACGCCGTCGATGTCATTGTTGGCTACTTTTTCATTCCTTGTATATCTCATTTCCAGGTCTTCCTGCCTCGTGCGGAATATATGCAAAGAGGGACAATATTGCTACAGAAGATGCTGAAGTAATTAAATTGCTTCGCGACAAAGGTGCTATTATTATTGGTCTCACGAATGTACCTGAATTATGTATGTGGTAAGCCAACGATATTTTTAGCTCTCTCCTTTTTCAAAACCTGGAAATAATTTTAAAATGAAATGACTATATTATTACAACCACGTGGTCAAACTAATAAAGTATTTGTACTTAGTTTTTTTATGGCATTTATGCAATTGACAAAGTAGATTATAGTTGTCAACAGGCGGGACTCAAAGGAACGATAAACGTCCAACTGTGCATATTCTTTATCAAGCAGCTGGATTTTTTTTACTTTCACTTTAAATGCTTATTGATTTTTTAGAAATAATATTTAAAAGACTTTCTTCATAAATATTTTAATTTTGTATTTAACAATGCTGGGTCCTTACTTTCATTTACTAGTCATAAGCTAACTTAACCTATTAAAACCAAATTACAAAATCCTGCTTAGTCACGAACTCCCTATTGTTATTGTTTGAAGATTTTACTTTTTGAAGTATTATTATTATTGCGCGAGAGGTGCATGTATGAATAAGTTAAAAAAAACCGTTAACATGTAGGACACGGTAGCTCAGTTGGTTAGAGCAATAGCACGGAGCGTTTATGCGTTGTGGGTCTAAAAATGTTCTATCCTAAAATCATTTTTATTTAATATTGTATTTTATATTTAGGTGCAATACGTTCAACGTTACACATATTAAATTCTAAAAAACACTGTCTATAGTTTACGGTTAAACATTTAAATAAAACACTTTAACGTTTAAAACGATTTAGTTAACATATTTAAAATGATTTTTAACTTACAATTCTTTTTTCTAGGCGTACTCAAGGCTATGAAATCATTTCGTAGACTAACATGTATCTACTTTGTATATCAACAAGAAAAAAACACTTTATTAATACAAATAATTACTTATATAAATTTCCAAGACTTAAAAAACAACAATGGTAATACAAATTACTATTGTTTGTTTTTTATGATAATGAGGAAATTGTTTTATTACTTTTATGATTTATAATTGGTTACAGTTACAGGTATTATATAGTACATCTTTGTTGCAGGTGGGAAACATATAACACGATATATGGTAGGACAAATAACCCCTATGATACCACGAGGATTGTGGGGGGTTCATCAGGCGGGGAAGGATCTTTACAGGGGGCTGGTGGTAGCTGTTTTGGAATTGGTAAGTCATATTGATTAATAAATAAATTTAGTTTTGAAAAGGCTAAGGCTAATGAAGAAGTAGACATGTTTTAACATACTTTGATGGCTTCGTTTTGATAACACATGAATCATAATTTAAAATATTTCCAAAGATCTCTAATTATGGTTTATTTTTGAAATAAGAAGATAAAGCTGTGTCGGAAAAAATAAATGTTAATATTAATAATGAATAGTACAAACTTTGACAATGAAATAATATTTTCAGGTTCTGATATAGGTGGTTCAATCCGTATGCCCGCCTATTTCAATGGCATATTTGGACACAAAGCAACGAGAAAGACTATTTCAAACAAAGGGAACTTCCCTGCTGTACGGACGGACCAAGAAGATTCGTGTTTGGGTAAGGCTTTAATATTGTCTTTATAATTAAAACAATACAATGTTTGGAGCTCAAAAATTTTAAAAATTCACGGGCAAGACTCGAACCTACCTACGGTGCGGTGGTGGTTTCTTTATATATCTTGCATCATGTTGCTTTCGACTGTTGGAGCAATATTCTGCCGTTATCCATTTATATTCTCAATATTAATTTTATTTCAGGAATTGGCCCCATGACTCGATTTGCGGTAGATTTGAAGCCAATCCTTAAAATTATATCTGACGCGAAAAGTAAAGATCTGAAATTAGATCAGCCAGTCGAAGTCGGCAAACTGAATGTGTTTTACCAAGTAAATAGCAATGCGCCACTTTGCGATACAGTCGATTCTGAAGTCGAATCCGCGTTGATGAAAGTCGTAGATTATTTAAATGTAAAATATAATACACAGGCCAAAAAGAGAGATATCAAATTGTTAAAGCAAGCAGCGAACATTTGGTTCGCCAGTGTCGCCTCAGAAGAGAGCGTCACATCTTACCTCCTCGGAGATGTTGGAAAGTGTGGAATATTCAAAGAGATAATAAAGAACATTTTCGGATGCTCGAAACACACATTTGTCCCACTAGCTATGGGGCTGATCGTTAAGGTGGATCTCAAGAGTGAAGAATATAGGACGTTTATAGAGCTTGGTCAGAGATTAGAGAGCCTATTTAAAAATATGCTCGGCGACGATGGTGTTTTTCTCTTTCCCACACACCCGACTGCCGCGTTATTCCACTCGGAGCCATTGTTCAGACCGTTTAATTTCTCGTACACGTCTGTCTTTAATACCCTCGGTTTTCCTGCTACAACTGTGCCATTAGGTTTGAACAGACAAGGAGTTCCAATCGGGGTACAGGTGGTCGCAAATCATTACAATGATAGACTGTGCCTTGCGGTTGCAGAAGAACTGGAGAAGGCATTCGGTGGTTGGTCTGAACCACAAACGAAATGATATGTTTTGAAAGCTCACATACTCAATGTATATAAAAAATAAGCGACACGTGATAATAAAGTTTTTGTACAATATTTTCTTTTTAATTACCTATTATTGAATAAGTATGTATGATGAACAGCAACGAATTAGATCCAGTCAAGGTTACAGACGAAATGTACTTTAATATAATTAATAATAACAGTACAAAAAACATCTATTCAGATATTAAATTACGTAAAAATATCACTCAAATATTTAGTTACAAACAAAAGTTTTTGAACATACCATTAAGAAATCGATAAGATACGCTGAAAAATCGATTCTTTAATTGCGTAAAAATATTAATCATATCAGTAAATGTCCTAATCGTACTGTATACAGTGATATACCCTTTTATTGATATAATTTATCTTTTAATTTTATAGCTAGTACCTAATTATTACCGTACAAAAAATAGCTATGAACATTTAAAATTGCGTCGTAGGTATTCTGTTGCATTAGTTAATTAGAAGTTAAAATTAAGGGCACGCCCTGTGGCTTCACCGATAACCATTCGGGGAAATATGATCCACAGTTTATATACGTTTAAGTTTAGTTAAAAAATAGCAGAGATAATATCATTACATATCCGAAAATGGCAGGACGACATAAAAACAGTAGGCTTAAAGTTGACGTATATTGTCAAACAGTCACCGCGATAAAACATAAATGATGCAGCGATGATAAATGCTGCAAAACGTTGCTGATAAATGTAAGAAGCTATCAATGAGACGCCAAATGGTAACATCAAACCACATCATATGCATGTTTAATAAAACAGGTAGCTGGTGAAGGAAGCCATATCTTGTTTCGCTTTTAGACGCGGCATAGTTAACGTGTGAGAGGGAGAGGTATAGTGAGTACAAAACAAGTTCAATCTAGCTACAAACTACAAGATACGAACATTGTATGAGTCTCTGGTCTCAGTAGCGAGCGCGGCGTGCAACGGTCGCGCGTAACCATTATTTTTATGTTTATTTTATTACGATATTGCTCGTATCGTAAAGTTAAATTTCTGAATATTTTGTACCAGTGGCATTTCCTAGTGTACGAAAATGGAATTAGATAAACAGGTTCCCATGAAACTACGAGTAATCAATTTTGCACGGTTATTCATCGCTAAGATAGCTAGATTTTTCTTTAGTATCTACTATTATAATGACGGTAAAAAGATTCCTCCTATAACTAGTGATGTATTGAAACTGCCTGCTATTGAAGTTGCGAGGAAAATTCGACAAAAGGAGGTATGTTAACGAGTAATTATTAACAATTTAATCTTACCCACATCGAACGCGATTCGTTATTAATAATTACGATTGGTTCGTCATATATGTATGATAACATTATATTCACTGTATAGATACTATTAGTTCATAGGTACATCTTTTATAAAAGTACAAGCATAACTAATTACTAATTAAATTTACACTTAAAGCCCGTAGTTAACGTGAGTAAAACCTTAAATTATTTAACTAATGTGTTTATATATATTTACACTGTTTCTAAATAAAAAGGACTACCAGTGAAATTATTTTGATTAGGTATGTGGATATAAAAGGGTTCTGTACGTTTAAAAGCGAGTTTATAACACGCGTTTGTATGGGAAGCCCTTCAAATTGTTTTAGACAGCGGAGTCGTAGAAATACATATGCTACGGAACCCAAAACAATACGTCTCCATACACAATACATAATTAAATCCTTTTTCCATAAGTGTTACAAGATAATTATTGTTGTCTGTGTAACTGTGTGGCAAAATCTTGCAAATACACGAACAACTTTCATTGTTCGAGATAATATTAGTACTTATCTATTAACGGATGTGTGATAAGCAAGTTGACATTCACCATACTTTTTATACAAAACATTCGCAATCAGAACGAATTGGTGTTTAAGGTAAAATAACATATTTTGAATCCAATGTATAACAAAGGGATAGATAAACGCTTAAATTCGGATATAGGTAAAAAAAAAGATTAAATGAAAATAAATTGGATGAAGAGAGAGATAAAAATAAATTAGAAGAAAAATAAAGTACATCTATAGTTTACTTTAAGAGTTACGTTAGCGAGTAGCAGACATTTTAATAAAACACTTTAACGGTTTAAAACGCGATATTTATTAGTTAAACAGTCGTTGTCATGGCGGGTCAGTTTCCGCCTAACCAGGGCTGCTGCAAAGCTTTCGAAACGTCGGGTCGTCGTTAAAATAATTTCAAATCGTTTTAACTGATATAAATCACGTTTTAAAGCGTTACAGTGTTTTATATATCGCGAACCGTTGTCGATTTCATGCTCAGAATTTTATGTCTAGATTAGAATAAGGATACTTAGAAATACATGTCGGTCAAATACAAAAACTCCCGCACACAGTAGGTACCTAGCTCCTACACTATTGACTTGGTACCGTAGGTAAATTTATATTGTTAGTATTCTGAGATATACATTATCATTTTTTTTGAGAGCACTATAAATATGTATTTTTTGTCGTTTCATAGCGGCAACATATATAATATATGTTTAAAATAGGTACAGTCCGATGACAGACAGTATCATTAGTCGCGTTGGGTTACGTTTTTACATTTTGGGTACGGAACATTAGTGATTTAGACAAGAACTTGTTACTAGAGGGAATTCAGTGTAAGCAACTATGTAGTTATATTGTCGTCCTAGCAATAGTAGCCAACATCGGAGATAGTTTTACGTTTGTCGTTTCTCGAATTCTCATAAAGTACAATTATGAGGCAATATGCAACATTTTCCTCATTCTTTCGATTTACTTTTTATGGTTAAGACGAACTACGACATAGCTCCGCGTAAGTCTTCACTCAGCAACGATTACAAAGGAAAGGCCACCCAACATTTTTTCAAAAATAACAATTTCATATTTCCGTCACCAAAACTAAATTGTATAGTATTCAAGTTTATACCGAGTATTATTACGAATGGTTTGCACGATATACGTTTTCAGACATGTTTTCTAATTTATTCCGAAAGAATCACGTGGTACCTACTTCTTAATATTATAAAACAGCAATTAAAGAAATTAGTTCAGCTATTAAATAATGGTTATAGTTTACCCGAGTAGTACACATATAAATAAAACACTTTAACGGTTTAAAACGCGATATATTAGTAACTTATTTGCAAATGATTTTTAACTTCGGCCCGACGTTTCGGATGCTTTGCAGCAGCCGTGGTCACGGGGAGACTCAAATAAGTTTAAATAATATATCGCGTTTTAAACCGTTAAAGTGTTTTATTTAAATAGTTCAGGTATTCTTGAGATTTGTGCTTAGCGACATATTAAGCTATTCATTTTTATGTCGTAGATTTCTGTTTTTTATTAGGAACTCATCCGAGAACAACACTTAACATATAATTGACAAGTAACTTAATGATTATGTAAATATGACTATTGGAACCTGTATTTACATTGCGTTACTAAGAAGGGTTAGAAGGCCTTGAAACTTGACATTGATTTCTTAATAACCTGTTTTATAACTGAACTTTATCGCTTACATATATATATCGCGCTTTAAACCGTTAAAGTGTTTAATTTAAATGCATATTCTTTTTAAAATTAGTGTCACAGGCGAGATTAAAACCTACTCATGTGTTATAATTTAAATATTCATCTAATATAATTTTTTAACTTCTATGTATGTAACATGTGAACATTAGATTGATTTAACACATCTGTATATGTTACTTATTGTAGAGTAAAATATATCTTTTCAGATAACAAGTGTGCAAGTACTAGAGGAGTGTATACAGAGAATTAATGATATCAATGGTCAGCTAAATTGCTTCGTCGAAAATAGATTCGAAAAAGCTTTAAAAGAAGCTCGCGAGGCCGATGAACTCATACGCAGTGGCACTAAAACCCCGGATCAATTACTTCAAGAGAAGCCCTTCCTGGGTGTCCCTTTCACGACTAAGGACTGTATGGCTGTAAAAGGTGAGACTTGGTAAATAATAATAATGCTTAATAATTTTATCATTAATCTGACGGGTCTAAACGGGATAAATTGGATATTAAATGGGTGGTAGGAATGTCAAAAGTTCCGTCCGAGTCACGAACCAACGTCCAGATTTAAACTGAAGTTTAACCGCGTTTCGACTTCAGTCTGTGGCCCTCCAAATGTACAAAGCCAAATATAGGTCGATAGGGCATCTCGTTAAGATGTTTTATTACTGGGGTATTTTACTTTCTATCAAGATAAAAAAAATAATATGTCGTGTAACCAAACAACTTAACTACCAGATCTTAGTCAACGCAATTGTACGAGTATTATTCACTTAAAGTTTAGACACTAGATTATTACGCGTGATACAACTTGCTGTGTTTTCGTTTTTCATTACCACGAGACCAAAATCGATGCTTAATGCAAATTATTTACATAAATTACCTTCATCATCCTACACAATAGATTTAAGATGGGTACCTACAAGTTTAAGAAAACACGTGAATTTAAAACGTGTTCTTTGAATAAATTACTAATTCTTAGTTTCGCACATTAGAATTTCCAAATAGTTTTGTATTGATTAAGTCGTCTAGTATATTATTAGAATGATTTGTGATTATATAGAATAACTAGCTGCGTCAGTGACTTCGTCCGCGTAGAAAAAATAATTTTGGGCATCCAAATTTGGTTTTTGTGAAGCTCTACATTTTTTAGAAAAGCTGCCCACGCCATCGGTCGCGTCCCGTCGCTCGCGACCCGTCGATCGGTTATTGCGAGCCAGTAACCTCCCTCGATAAATGCTCTAACCAACACAAACCTTATTTTTCAATTCGAACCCGCAGTTTCTGTGATTAACGCGTTCTAACAAACAAAGTCTTTAGCTTTATATATTAGGACCGAACCTAGAAATGGGGAAATAGGATAATGGGTAAAATGGTCAGCTGATAACGTGGACTGATCAGCCGTCCTGCCACAGGTGTCCCCGAAAGAAAATAATAATAATATTAGAACCGAACCTTCATCGAATTATCTTAGGAGAAGTTCTTCTAAATTATACTTTGAGTTCAAATTGGAGCTTTATACAAGTTTTATTTTCACCGTAATATCTTAATGATTCGTGTTTACATTCTCTTTCAAACGGTAAATCAAGTGTGCGTTAACAGTAGAACGTAGTTATGTATGCCTATAATACAAAATTCTCGAGAACTAGACGCTATAGTTTCGCATTTTGATAAAATAATTCCAGGTCTTCACCAAACTTCCGGGCTGGTGTCCAGGCAGAACTACATAGCCGATGAGGATGCAGAAGTGATCAGGCTGATACGAGCAAAAGGTGCCATTATTATTGGTCTCACTAATGTTCCAGAAGTATGTATGTGGTAAGTGTGAAGATTATCAGTGCTTTGGGGTACAAAGTACACGTTCTTTGCTAGTTTCACAAAGTTCCTGCTATATTCAAATGAATTTTTTAAACTATTAGGTACGCACAGCCTAATTACTTGATTGGAGATGCTTTTCGACAAAAAGAAAAGTTTTATAATACTTGGTAGTTGGGTCTAATGATTCCGACTTAAAAGCGTTCGAAGAAGGTTGGTAAAGGTTTGAATATGATTCTTCCAGGTGGGAAACTCACAACCATGTTTACGGTAGAAGCAACAATCCTTACGACACCACAAGGATCGTAGGTGGATCTTCAGGTGGGGAGGGGGCGATGCAGGCGGCCGCTGGAAGTATTTTTGGAATCGGTATGTATAGTATTCGGTTTGTTAGTCATTGATTATAACTAATATATCTTTAACAATGCTTAGTCACGAGAAACCTTATAAATTATTCATCATTTTATTTTCCTCGTTTTGCAGGTTCCGATATCGGCGGTTCAATTCGTATGCCTTCATTTTTCAATGGAATTTTTGGACATAAGCCGTCGAGAAATACAGTATCCAATCATGGACAGTTTCCATCTCCAAGTTCAGACTTTCTTCATTCACTTTTAGGTAAGTTCAAATTCATGTATTATAGTTTAGTCATAATTTATGAGGATGGTTATATTTTATTAAATTATTATTTTACTAATTTTAAAAATTACAATTGCAGGTGTCGGTCCTATGACTAGACATGCAGTCGATTTGAAACCACTCTTGGAAGTAATGTCCGGTAAAAACAGTGAAAAGCTAAAGTTAAATGAACCAGTTAACGTGGGAAAACTTAAGGTGTATTACCAGATCAACAATAACGCGCCACTAACAGATCCAGTGGATCCCGACATTGAAACTGCTTTGTTAAAGGTGGTTGAATATTTGAATGTAAAACATAAAATCGTAGCAGAAGAGAAAAACATAGCGCTATTAAGAAAGTCACTAGCTATCTGGTTCTCAAATATGAAAACGGCAAAATTCTTCGGATCATACCTTATGGAAGATTACAGCTTTTTATCAATTGTTAAAGAGATATTAAAAAACATAATAGGATTATCTGGAAATACATTAATCGCGTTGTTTACTGCGCTCTTTGATTACGGTGGGGAACAGTTTGAGAGTCCCAAGTATAAAAGATATCTTAAGCTTCGAGATGAACTGGAGAAGACATTCTGTGATATGCTTAAAAATGATGGTGTATTTTTGTACCCTACACACCCAACTCCAGCCTTATATCACAATGAACCTCTGCTAAGATCAATGAATTTTTCATATACAGCAATTATAAATAGCCTTGGCTTTCCATCGACTACTATTCCTCTGGGATTAAGCCGAGAAGGTCTGCCAATTGGTATTCAAGTGATTGCAAATCACAATAATGATAGATTATGCCTTGCGTTTGCTGAAGAATTAGATAAGGCATTCGGAGGCTGGATTGAACCTCAGTCGTCTAAATAATTGTATTGCTTTTCACTGAGTATGCATTTGTATAATTGATTATTTAATAAATTGAGATGTATTGTAATTGTTCACAAAAAAATATTTTCTAAGCTATTTAAAAACAATCTTTATTTCTCTATCAAACATTTTTGTAACTTTGTCATTCATTACTTTTTTGATATAATGTTTTAGAAAAGTATGTAAAATGAGCATGCATATAAATAACATATATTTTGTATATTAAACAACTTAGAGATTAAGAAGTTATTATAAAAATACTATTTGGTACTCAAATGAATTGAATGTATTATTTTTTACCTCTTTATTAATAATAATTCCATGTTTAAATATTTAACTTATAATTATTAATTGAAATCTGTACAGTATAGTTAATGTTTACTAGTGGTCTATCATTTTTTTTACTGATAAAGATAAGAAAAAGTAAAACTTCATGAATTCCAACTCAACTTTTTATTCATTACATAAGGCATAGTAGGTATAATAGTTGCTAAAAGGATAAACCACATTTTATAGCCAGTTGTCGAAATTGCAATTCTATTGCCTCAATGCCCCATTGATCATCTAGAACTAGCTAGATTTTGAATAATTGAAATAATTTCCTTTCTCTTAGCATTTGTATTTATCTTGACCATCATATCACAAGAGGAAAGTTCTCTGTGAGCTCTGGTATGTTCTGCAAGACGCTCTGTATTGCATATAACATGAACACCGCAATCATAACCATTGCCCTGCTGTATGCATTCCTTATCCATAAAATTTATTAAACCTGGAAAATAATGCTATACTTTACTATTTAGATACTGCATCAACCACAGAAAAAATAAACACAACATAATTACTATAATATTTTTTAAGACAGTTCTTACCTCCTCTTGTTAAATATGTCATTAAATGTCCAGCAAAATCCCAGGCAACATTATGATTGGCACCAGATGATGAATCAAAGTGAAAAAAGCTATTTTCCATCTTGGAATAAACTAACAAACTCCAGTGTAACCCACCAGCAGTATCCGGTGAGCTGTTATCATTTAACGCAAAAAACACATACTTTTTCGCTTCTATATTCAGGGGTTCTAGGAAGATCTTTATTTCCTCACTTGCCACCATTTTAATGCACTGTGTGACTTCAGGTGATACAAATAGTATGTCTTTTACATCACTGAATACAACTTTCTCTAAGTATTCAAAGTAAAATGATATTATTGTATCATTTAGCCAGTATGGCCCACTGAGTAGATCAACATCGGATTGGTGTAACAATGTTTCATGAAAACTTAATACCACATATGTCTTGGCCATTTTGTAAAATTTGTTACAAACTATGGCTTGGTACCGTTGTACATATGATTTATCTTGAAATTATCTGCTAAGGAATAAGAAAACTCAACAAGGAAAATAAAAACATTGTATACAGATTTAGACTGAGTTACTTACCAATATTGTATGGTCTGATACATTACATTTATAGTTCTGGACACTTTTATGTAAATTCACCAATTAATTAGGTTTTATTGAGCAAATTCAGATCTTCTCGAGTAAGTCATTTGGTTACAGTCAGAACTAAACACATCTTGCTCGATATTGTTTGTTAAATATTAAGTCTCACTGATAACTAATATATTATACATAAAATAAAATATATGAACTATTTGTTAATTATGGTTCAATTTCACACTGCACTGTTGATGAAATTTAATTTGATAATTTAACAATGACACTTGACAGTCAATATTATTTTTTTATTACTTGGATTCAAGTTCATTGGCATATTTCGTGTTGCCAGATCATTTTCCTATCTGCCAACACTTGAGTTTGTTCTCAAAAGGTTTTAGGAAAAATACGGATGTACATTCGTATTTTTCCTAAAACGATACGATACGAAAATATATAATAAACGTACGATTGTACGTATATAATATATTTATTATATACGTTTATACGTACAATCGTATATAAAATCCTGAATGATATTTTCCTCTACAAGGAAAATTCCATTCTAATTCTAGTTAATCATAATATTGGAAATTTACACTAGAAATTGTTTTTCATTTGTAGCGACAGGATGATATACGCGTACGCGTAATTGAACTTGTTAGCTAACATTTTTTTTAAGTTGAATATGATTTGTACTTACAAAGCTTGCTCTGTAATATGGTACATTAAAGTAATCCATTAAGTACAATTAAAAGGCGTAAATCATAGAAATATGCGATGACAATAGAAGAATATAAAACTACAAACATTTAAATAAATGAAAATAAAAGTAAAAATTAAAACTCTTTATTTATCGTAAATTTAATAATAGTAAAAACTAATAATTGGTAACAAATTATGGAAACTATCAAATAGAAATCCATTTTGTAGGTACTTTTCACAAATAAAATACTAAGGATGACATCTATCAATAATTTAATAACATCAAAAACATTCAGAACATTGTTATTCTACTCAAACATGTCATACATAACCACACACAAACAATAATTGTCCAAGTTATAATGACAATGTGATTCAAAATATCCTATTGTGTCATATGAATGAATGTACAATAAATACATTAAATAATGATACTGATTGGGCTAAGGAATAAGAAGGATATCCCATTCATTTGGTGAATCCCTCCACTTCCACGATTTATCCTAAGTTCTTTGAAATTACTTTGTAGACTCCTTGAGATACGCAATAAGATCCGCGCGTTCGTTGGCTTTCTTTAAACCAGCGAACACCATTTTGGTGCCAGGGATGTATTTCTTGGGGTTCTCCAAGTATTCAAACAAAGTGTCCTCATTCCAGGTGATGCCTGCAATTATAAATAAAGTTATATCACAAATTTTATAATATACATGATTAGATAAAATGAGTGGTTCAGTCAATAAGGAAACAAAAAAAAAATAAAAATGAATAGAATGGAAAATTGGTATGGATTAAAAACTACTAAACCTGGAAGGAGGGAAGGAATACCTCAGCCATATATTATATCATTTTAAGAAACTGTGGTGTCAAGCTATTTGGGATTTATACAAGTGGAATTATTCACTACCCTATGGCATAATTACAAGGTTAAATGCCATTTTATCTCCATTATTAGTTCACACTGTTACATTAGCTTATCCATCATGCTCAATTATCTAATCTCAAAAATTTAGTAATCAATACATTTAAGCCATGTTCAAAGTTTTAAAATTATAGCAAATTATACATACTTTATTTATAACATTCAAAATTTTTCTACTCTATTTAAAATTTCTGAAATATTTTTTTCTAAAATCTGGATATTAATTGGATGGTAGGAATATTGAAATTCCATCCAGATCACAAATCATCTAGAGGTAGAAATGTTATATAGCTCGGATATTTCATCTTCTATCACAAGTGGAACCCATGCATGCCTGTCATCCGCATATCATAAAAAAAATCCTTGTTCTTTAAGTAGCAATATAAATTGCAAATATTTATAAAATGATTCAAGCTTACACAGAGATTAGCCTATAACATTGTGTCGGGGACTTTTATATACAAAAATATATATTATATAGTATATTAATTATGTTATTGTACCTTTAGCCTTGTTGGCGTCTGAGTATGAGAATCCTGGAGCTTGGCCAGTTTTGCGGCCAAAGAATCCATTAAGGTTAGGCCCTACTTTGTGTTTGCCACCAGCCTCGACCTAATAAAAAGACAGTATAAATATTACATTTGTTATAAGTGAAATAAATTATAATTTAAACTAAGATTTATGACATTGTAATCCTTCCTTTAAAATGTATACTGAAACATGGTTTAAAGCCTAGAATATGATTTTTAAATTTTGAAAGGTACTTATTTTAAATTTGATTTAAGTACTAGCCATAAGGATCTTTATGATGTAACACATTTTCTTACATAATAGAATTGCTTCTGTGTATATAATGAATAATATAAGGAAACAAGCCTTGGATAATTATCAGCAGTTTTTTACATTTTTAGTAGTTATGCATAGGTGACCAAAAGTATAAAGGCAGATGATCCATTTCAAATTATAGTAAATCAACATCAGTTATGTAATAATTTTACAAATCAGAAAATAAATTCATAATTAACAAAAAGTATTTAAATAAAACACTTTAACGGTTTAAAACGCGATATATTAGTTAAACTTATTTGGAAATGATTTTTAACTTCGGCCCGACGTTTATTAATTTAAATATTATGTGTACTTACAGTGTGGCATTGAGCACACCTTTGTACAAAGATTTTCTTTCCATTTTCTGGATTGCCAGCAGGTACACCCATTGTTCTGTAAGATATTATAGGAATAATTAAACAACCCGTATTCAGAGCAATTATAATGAGTTAGAAGTCATACATCACTTTACGTATGATTTCATTACTTCATTTTCTCGGAAGTACATTACATAATACAAAGGTCAAAGACGAAAGCAATCAAGGGTAAGTTATTTATCTTTATTATCAGATCAGATTGAAGAACGCCTAATCTTAATCGGAATTGGCACTGGTTTCCGATAAATGTGGGTCAGGATCACATGGAGATCAATGTCAGAATAGGAACCTTAGGGCAGTATGATGACATTGTTACGTAAGTGTCGACCTGACTAACTATTGGTTATTCGCGATAAATGTATGAAATAGCGCGTTATAGAAGATGAACAGGATATAAGGAAATGTTCATGGATGAGAGCTACGAATATGACATTTCACAATATTTTAGGTTATTACATCAAAGGTTGTGGTATTTAAAAAAGTAGACTCCAATTAATAGAAACACTTGCAACTCACGTTTAAAAATTACTTACTTTTTGTGATTTACAGGTATTTAGTGAAGAAGTACTAAAAACAATTTTCTTTTTTATTTGTACCAACTAAGCATTGACAAAACGTCCAACACCAGCGCGAAAATCACACGACTGATGTCGGAGAAACCCCGAGCGACGTCGAAAATTTTTATCGATACTAAGGTGGTATTATCTGTGGATAAAATATAAAAATCTGTGGAAAGTGAACAACACTTAAAAAAATCCATAAGAATATGTTGTTAAAATGTGATTATATAATTATTTTATTTTTGAAGACATACTATATATTTGTTTGTTATTTAATCGCTTTATAAAAAAAAGTTTATTTCTTATATAGCATGTTTCTTTTAGTAATCGGTACATAATTTTATTTTGTTGTAGTCTCTTCATTATACAAGAGATGGCACTAAACCGAATATTATATGAAATAACTATTAATATACACATTTTTACAATATATTAATATTACTAATAATTAAGCGACTAGTTGGATGTTGTATAATTATAGGTACATTTGTTTACCAATTGCTATCAAAGATTGCCATCAAAAAGAAAAAAATACTTTGACATATCAAATTATAATATATTTTAAATTTTTATAGGTTTCAAACATGTGTGTTCTAGCAAGTTACAAAATGAAACATGAATCGAAGGATTGTGTTTATTAAAGGTAACACATATAGAAATAGTAAAAGAATCAATAGCTTATAATTATATATGATAAAGAATTCGATTGTAGATAAATTATAACTTTTCAGGTAAGTCACACCAATTACATCGCATATTTAAAGAATGATATTATAAAAAGCACAATTATTGTATTGAAAGTGTTAAGAGTAGAACTCCCATTACATAGATCGGAGTGGCAAATCGTACACGAGGAGTAGTGTATTCCAAGATCCCCTAAACCTCTGTTTAGACAACTATTGCCACAATCACGAACTATGAAGGAGTAACCTGTAAAATAAAATTCCATAAGTTTTTTTTTTATTTTGATTTGGACGAATCAAAATAAAAAGACAAACAAACAATAAATAATAAGTAATAGAGTAAGTTTGAAAAAAATAAATTCTAAGATTTGGTGGTTCAGTATCTAAACAAGTTATAATGCGATTCGCCTACTATTGCTTCGGAACCCGCCATAACATGATGCATCGTTAAAAAAATTCTAGAACGAATCACATACATCTAATCAGTGACTATGCAAGCCGACCACTGAAACAGAAACAGAATGGCATAATATGCTTTAAACATGGGCTATATTTTCCCGACTAACCTCTGTGGCGGAAGGTTTTCGTGATGCAAGCGTTGTGGTCCCGACGACAGTACTTAGCTGGGGTTCGTCGATCGGGCGACCAACACGATGGGTTGTTTGTACTACTACAAGCGAAACAAACCCGGGGATGATCGATCAACATCAAATTCGTTTTGACCATGTCTGAAATACCAAAACCTTTAGTTGGATGACTGGCACGATCGATATCTTCACGGGAAACCTCTGTATCGGTTGAAAATAAGTCTATATCAAAATTGTCATAAACTTTGTGCCGTTTCTGTAAGTTCTCGTGGTACTCACTTGATACGTCAACGGAGGAAGGGTTCACATAATTGAATGCAGATTTTTCCTCAACTACATTATTAAAATGTGGATTGGCTTGATTTAAATTGTGTGGGTTATTAGAAGTTAATTCAGGATTTGGGTTTAGTTGATCTGGATTGGCGGGCGGTGGAGTTGTTATCAAAGTATTATTAGTGTTCATTGGTGGTTCAGCCTGATTCCCTTCGAAAGGATTAAATCTTCTAGTATTGTTTTCACTGATTTCGTCTTCGCTCTCGTTATCTTCTATAAGGTTTATAAATTTTGAAGCGTCTTTGTCGGCTTCATTTTTAATTATTAGTGATTCAAATTCAAAATGCTTCTCTGTGCTGTCAATTACAGAATCTTTATTATTTTTTTCACTTGGTGTGTTGACGGCAGCCACAGTTTCGTTGGTTGACTTTGGACCTTCGTCTTCATAAAATCGTCGTGTAGCTCCTTGAGAGTCTAGATCTTTTAACATTTCAGATAGAATACCAAATTCTAAGTTTGCTATATCTGGTACCGACGTATTGTTTGAAAAAAATTGAGTATTTGCTGAACTCGATAAGTTTTTAGATCCCTCTGTGTTGTCTTCCCCAACATCGTAAGGCGATCGATCCTCCGTTTCTTGAGGTTTACTAAGTTTTTCAATATGCGAATTTGTGTTATCAAAAGAACTTCCGCATTTCGTATACCTGTGAGCTTGTTCATTGTAGCGTCCTTTCAATGTGTGAATTGTATGTTTCAATCCTTGTGCATTTTCTTTATTTCGTTCTTCTTGCGCATCGAATCCCGGTGGGAAGGAATCACATTTTATTTGACATATGTGACCTAAAATAAACAATTTTTATTTAATTATGCTCTTGTGCAAAACTTGTATTAAGACAAGTTGTTAGTTGAATTATTACAATAAGATATGTCGTAACATGGCGTATTTACACTTTATAATTAAAAAATTGAAAATAAATTGAAAAAGTTTTCGACTCGGGCAAAGTTCTCAATCTCTCTCAAATCTCTCTCTCGGCAAATCTCTCTCTCTCGGTAGCTCAATTGGTAGAGCAACAGCACGGAACGCTGAACGATGCCGTTTCAAGTCCTGCCCGAGTCGAATTTTTTTTCAATTTATTTTCGATTCTTTAATTGTATAGTGCCTTCATGTGCAATACATGTAAAAAATAATAAAGTTTTCAAACGTATTTACACTTGCTAATATGTCAATTTTAATAAATAAAGGGCCTATCGTCAAAACTTACCTAATAATACTGTTGCGAAAAGAATATTGATTAAATTATATAGTACTACTGACATTATTTTAAAATATCGTGTAGTCCGTTCGGTGTTTAAAAATTTAATGCAGAAAAAACGTGGGCAATGCGCAGCCAAAATCTTTTATCTAAAAAAAACTGTAAATCGATATCGCTGTATTGTAAATTGTCATGGTGGAAAGGTATTTCAAGAAAACAATGGTCTTTGCGCTTAAGTGAACGTCAGTGTACCGATCTTGTATGACGATTTAGTAGCTTCATGAAGGCGACTTATGTACATACTAGATAGGGTAGTTTAAAAATAAAACGGTGTAAAACGCCATTATAACATTAGTGAAACTTATTTGGCAATTAATTTACCTAGGGCCCGACATTTCGGATGCTTTGCAGCACGGCGAGTCTCCCGTGACCGCGGTTGCTGCAGTTAGTTAAAATAATTTCCAAAGAAGTTTAACTAATATATATCGCGTCTTTAAACGTTAGTGTTTTATTTGAATGTGTACTACTCGCGTAAACTATAGACAGTAACGGATTGTCTTTTAAAGTAGTCTTATTTAAGACACTAAGCTCCCAAAATTATCGTACACACCATCTAATCGTGTCTTTAACTATATAAAAGATCTAAATTCGGAGATTTCCTGGTTTAACGATGGCTACTCTTTATCATTCCGTTCTGCATAGTAAATAGTATACTAATTGATAAGCAATATAGGTGCTTCTAGTGTAAGTGTACCTTTTGGGACATAAAGGCCGTAAATGAGGAACAGCCACATCACTCAACATTCAACTAATTGGAATCGCGTTCATGTTTCAGCTCGAACAAATTGTCAGCCTAACGAAGGTCTGTTAAATTTGCCAATTTCGCATTTGTATTTCGGTAATTTTTACCCGACGGCGGCTGGAAAGGAAGGGTAATGATTTCTACTTCCTATGTGGAGCTTTAAATAAGCTGATATTAATGAACGAGACGTTAAATGTTTTTCCCTTCGCACCGTGAGTCAGTTTTGTAAGGACCCAGCTAGTTTCTCCAAATGTCAACTACAACGAAACAGATGGCGCTAGTGTAGCAGATTAGATTTAACATTAGGGATACCATACATCTTCGGCCATCGACTGCTGCTGACTACTACTGTAAAGGATCCGAAGCGTCGGGTCGTAGTTAAAATAAATTGCGAATAAGTTACCTAATATATTTGGTATTTTAAACTGTTAAAAATGTTTAATTTACAGATAATAATGTTCAAATAATCAATCCCATCCATTACACTCTACCAAACATTAAGTTATAGTTTTTTTGGTTCTTTCCTACTTGTAGTATAATTAATTCGCTTTCGCTATTATCACCAGAGTACTTAATAGCGTCTTCAATCTCGTTTAAATGTTGCATTTTATTTAGGAACATTGCCATAAAACGGGAACGCAAAATGGTTTACGACATTTAAAACTAATGAGCTGTAAGCATTAAAGGCTGTCGCAATATATTATGTGGACAGATAAGTTCCTAAATATTAATATTGGTTTATTAGTAATATTAGTATTATCTTTAATTTTATCAAATTTTCAAACGAAAGGCGATACGTATAAAAGGAATATTACATACAGCTAAAGGAATTTTGTTTGTATTAAAAAAATATAAATGCTTATATTTATAATTATATTTTTTCTTTGGAAGGATATTCGTTTCGGAAAATTGTTGAACAATAAATTGTCCAAGGCTTTCACGGCCACCGTTCAGCATATCATTGTTTTTCGGGCTGTTCGGCCGACGTGATCGAGAAGAGATTTTCGACGTTTCGCCATCACGAGCGGGCGGCATCATCAAGAGATGTTAGCTCAAAAACAATAGCCCGAAGAATAATAACTCGACAAGAATTGAAACTCGATAACCCAAGTAGTTAAGGGTGGCCATTGGCATACGTATAAATGTTGTTTCATTGATTTCCTTTGTAAATTTACCTGGTTTTCGTTCTACATCAAATCAATTTTAATTTCTCTAAATCTTTTGCAATACATATAGAAATACCATGCATAATTTGTAGAACCCAGCATACACTTTAAATTAAAATCGTGTTATGATTGGTCACGTAACCCAAACTTTATATTGGTTGGGGAGAAGAGTTATCTTACAAAAGGATCGTTTTAACTAACCCAATAACCATAAACTTCATATTTATTGAAGGACTCTTTTGCACAATCTCCTATCGGTTTTAAGTTAAAATACGATATTTTTACGATATGTATTTCGATTCTTGAGCGTTTGTGATTTAATGAGATATTTTATTTCCAAGATTATATCTTCAAATACCGTTGGAATATTTACTTTTGGTTGCAAAATTTTCCTCTGTCATTTTTGTATTCTATATCGTCCGCGTCTCAATATTATAATAGCGTAGCGAAGTTTATTAAATTTACTGCTACAATTTTTCACCAACGCCTACGGTATCGCCCACGGTTTTCATCAAAATATTTTCTTTAGGAAAATTGATAAGAATTCGGCACAATTACAAAAGGCAAATTAGATTTTGGTCGCGGCCTTATCATTTTAAATTACTGAATAGGACAGACAACATCGGGTGCACTGGATGTAAAGTAAAATAGCTACATAAAACAATTGTGTTGTTGACATATTTTATGAGATATAAACAGCCAGAAAACGAAAGACTGAAATCAAAACACTGATGATATATTTTACGACTTTTCCATCTGTGAATGAGACAAGGCTTCCTATTCAGTGTGAAAGTTTTCCAGAAAAAAATTATGAATAAATATTTTAATGGAAAATACTTCATTGATTATAGAAACCTGGTCTTTATAAAATCGAATATTTATAAATATGAAATCTTGACATTGTATATTTGTTCAAAGCGTGTAAATAAATAACCAAAGAATTAATATTTACGCCGTAAATCGGACTATTTGTTTAAAATTACAATACCCGAATAATACGCGATCATTAATCACGAGGACCTCGCGGAATTATTATTGTCGGATGTTTTCTTTTATTTTTTAGAAATCTCCTTTCATTCTTCCCTTCAGAAGTTATTATACTTTTGAAGCCGTGTTTTATTACGGTAAATTTCTTTTTCGATGGAAAAAATGTCGTTAATACGATCAAATGGATTGGTTATTACTTATTTAAGAAGTTCAGTAACAGAGCAGTAATTAGTACTTAAGAAATATTAATGAACTTAATTTGTGATCTAACCTTGATAATCAGCTTTAAGCAAACCACTGAGAAGGGTTCACTAAATTACAGATATAAATTTGGTCTTACCCTTATAATTAAATATTAATTGAGACAAGAGGTCTGTGTTTAATAATTCGGATTTAAGTTCAAATTGTAGATGTGAATATCAAGTCGCATAAAACGAACGGAATATAATAATAATATATTTTTTACATGTATTACACCTGATTGTTTAAAAATGCGTGATTCTAATTAATAGTTAATGTGAAATCCCCTTTCCCGTCGTGGGGTAAACCGATTCGAACCCAGGACCGCTCGCGCTTTACGCAATGCTAAGCTATTAACCATTTAGCTACAGTGGTGGTCAATTCTAATTAATATAATATAAGTACTAAATGAAATTGTAAAGTTCATTTAAATACTTAAGACGTTTGGCACATTACCATTTTGTGTAGTCTTCTGTTTTTTCGTCTTAAATGGTAGATATCGTTTATAGTATAGACTGCCATGTTTTATTTATAGAAGTATTATCTGTAGTTTAAGAGAGACGTTAAATAAAACTTCTTGTGCTTCTTATTTGTTTGTCAGTTTTTTTTTATGGGTTCTAAGGTAGAAATAAATCCATATAAGGCCACAATTGTATGTCTCGTCATGATGATCCTTTTACAAGCAGAAACTAAGTAAGTGCACTTAATTTCAGACACTGTTTGAAAGTCAAAACTCATAAATTAACAAAGGAGTGGGCGAATACATTTTAATGAACACTCACAAAGGATGCAGTACAGTAAAATGGTTTTAGCGCAAGAGAAAGTCGTTTACATTAATTATTTAACAATAAGGAAACCTACGTTTTGAAACAACTGTTTAAAAGGAAATTGCCATTCTAGGCTACTTATGGACGATTAGTCGTTGAGAAGAAAAATACGAAGAAACTACCTGTATTTATATATTACTATTATTGAACTAGAATTTGAACGCATCTTAATTTAATACCCATTCTAATTTTAATAATGTTTAATTTCATTCAATTAAAAAACTATTCACAGGTCTAAATAAAACACTTTAACGATTTAAAACGATCTATTTTAGTTTGTTTAACTTGTTTGAAAATTATTTTTAACTACAGCCCGACGTTTCGGATGCTTTGCAAAATATATCGCGTTTTAAACCGTTAAAGTGTTTTATTTAAATGTGCAGGTATTACTCGCGTAAACTACAGACAGTATTTTATTGACAGTTGTCTCTTTATTTTTATAAACTTGATTGTTTGATTGCTAAAATAATCAAGTTTATTGAAATAATATATCGTAGCTCAGTGGTCAAACGGGCTGCATAGCATTGAGCACGATACAGAGATCCTGGGACTAAATTCCGGGGAAACGATTAATTGTTTCGACCGGGATAAGTATGACCAACTATTAGAAACGTAATAAATAATCTTTATTTACCAACCAATGAACTTATGTCAAGCAGTAATTATCATTTCTACAATAGTTTATAGTCTTCTTAATTACAATCTTAAATAATTTAAGTTATATCTACACTATTGATTAAACATTAGTATAGAAGTGTTTGTTTAGTATAGGAGTCTTTCTTAAAAATGAAGTACAGTCTGCATTATTGGTTTCAACGCACTGTCGACCCAGGGTATCAAACTAGAACTAATTAAAAGAGGCACTGAGCATTTTTTTAATGAGTAATTCACTGGATATTGGCTGATTTTCCGTAACGTGTGAAGCAGTGGAGCCTAAAATCAGGCTTTAATGTGCGCTGAGGAGCGTAACAATGTTAAATCTGTTTAATTTTCGTATTTGCTCGGCATTCTGCAAAAAAAAGGGAAAAAAAAAAGGGGGGGT